GTATCTAATAATTTTTAGAGTGAATCAGAATATTCTTTATGGTCAGGGAAAAAGTGAAAATTTTGTCTGGAAAAAGTCTGGAAATCAGGGAAAAGTCAGGGAAAAATAAAATTAAATATTTGTGGCTAGCCTGAATAGACAATTTGTGAAAGTAATTGAATTTTTTAAAAATAATTAAGTGGTTATAAGTTAGTATTTGAAAGTATTTTGGAATAATAAAATTTTATTAAAATTCTTTAAAAAGTAATTGAAGCTTTAGAGATATAACTAATGGTAATTGAAAGTTTTCGGAAGAATTGAATTTTTTAAAGATAATTCAATCTTTACAAACTAGTATAATTGAAAGCTTCTGAAATAATTGAATATTTAAAGAATTATAATAGATGTTATAGAAAATAATTAAAATTTCTTAAAATATATAATTATTATTAATTTTGAAATTTGAATACTGTCTATTAAGTTCGAAAGGAATTTCGAAATTCTTCTTTATTTATAATAACTTATTGATTTGTTAAAAAGTAAAATATATCGTAATTATAATAAATGAATAATAATGATCATTGTTTATTATTATATGGCGTATTCACTAATATAAAATCTAATCTTTTCGGGATAGATAGCGTCTAAGGAATAAGAATTTATAAATTAAAACATATCTTCTCATTTCTAAGTTCTTATCCTATATCTGCTTTTAAAAGTGAACAATCCTAGCATGGTTTTTGCTCATATGTGTTTCTACATGCACTTCATACTACATTGTATATTTATCTTGCATTTCAAAGTCTAGGCTAACAACCGGTCATTCCGTATTTTTCAATAATAATCCGTAACATTGTAGAGAGGCAACCAGTTATTAAGCTATCGTTTTCATTTCTAAAGATGCATAAAAATATTTTTTTTCCTCCTCTTTCTTTTTAAATTTCTGCTCTTCATGAAGGGTAATCAGCAACATTTTGAAGGGAAACTACTTATTATATTTATTGTAACTTGAAATATAGATAATTTCAATTTATTTCGAAGATGTTAATCTTTTTGAAGAGTTTGAAGTTAATTTCCTTGAAAATTAAATGTATAATATATTACAAATGCAAAACTTGACCAAGAGTGTATTTACTACTTAAATATACATATATATGCTCATTATTGGTTGAGAGGAAAGTTTTTTTTTTTAAGAATCTTTTTTCTCCATGCATTGCGGTTTCAAATAGTCATCGTCATGCATTTATCTATATGTGTTTTCCCATGCACGTGCCTATTCGTATATAGGTTATTCAATAATCGAGAATTTATTTTCAAAAAAGATAAAATTTGTTAGTTTATAAGCCATCACACATAGTAGGTTGTCTCTTAATTTGATTAGTAAATTACTTGTTATTATAATTATCGTTCATTCTAGTTTTGTTAGCATTCTTAGTGTTCTTAGCCTTTAGTCTCTTTTTAGTCATTTTTAAGTCTCTGTTTAGTCTATTTTAATTTTTAAGTCTATTTTTAGTCTTTCTTTAGTCTTTTTTTTAGTCTTCTAGTCTTTTCTGCTCTCTTTTAGTGCTTTTCCAAGGAAAAAATTATATTTATCTGATAGGCTATTAATTAGCTCCCGGTTATTATTTGATTAGCAAATTGGATGAAAATAGTTTTTTTTTTTAGTATAAACACTGGTTTTTGTAATAACCGTGATTATTAAATTCTTGTCAAATAAAAATATCCCTGTAACGGTTATTACGACCTGGTTTTATATCTCAAACTTACTGTAATTTCGATTGTTTTTTCTACATTCTTTATCGAGAAATTATGTAGAAAGTTTTCAACTGTTATTAAGTTTTAATTTTAATTTTTTACAAATTTTTTTCTAACAAAATAATGTTAAGTTTTAGGTAGCGAAATTTTATTTAGAAAACTTGGCCCTTGAAGTGAATAGAATTAAATTTTAAGAAGCTTTAAGATTAAAATTTTATTATTCATTTTGTGTTTAAATTTAATTTGAATTTCGCGCCATTAATTCTGTAACCGACCGTCCAGATGGGGATAAAACTCGCTCACAAACGAAATGCAATGAGTAGAGTATTATAGTTATTAAAATTACAGTTTGAATTTGGTTTATACGTGCGGTTAATAATTTTACTGTTAATTATTAATATTTAGAAATATTTATAATAATTATTATTATTTTATTACTGAGAATTATTAAGAATTAATTTTTATATTATTATTATCATTGTTAAATAAAATTATGAATTTTATCAGGGTTTTTGAAAATAATTGAATATTCGTAAACAATTTAATGGTGTATTAAAAAAAAAGTTAAGCCCTTTTCGAAATTCACAATTCAATATTATAACAAATTGAAAAGTTTTTGAATAACTGAAATTTCGTAAGCATTTGTTAAATAAAATTTAATATTTCAATGAGTTTTGTTAAAATTTTTTTAAATAATTCAACTTTTGAGAAATTTTAATTAAAAATTGTGGAAACAATTGATTCTTTAAAAAAAAAATAATTAAAAATTTTGAGAATTGTTAAATTTTACAAAGAATTAAAATTGGTGTTATAAACGGGATCAATTTAGTAAAAATTCTGATTGACACAAGTTGATAAAATTAGGGGGATTTCAGAAAATGTTCCTATCAAAAATGTAGATAAGTAATTAAAAATTTTCAAAATATCTGAATTTTTTAAAAATCTTTTAAAAATAATTGATTTTGATTCAAGAATTTTACTAAAAAAATTAAAAATTATCCAAAATTTAAAGTTTTATTTTTTAAGAATTTTAGTGAAAATTTTGTAAATAATTGAAAGTTCTTCAAATATTAAAAATATTTGAATTTTTAAAAACGTTTATTAAAAATTGGTGAAAATAATCAAATTTTTTAAAAATAATTTAATGTTTATCATCTAGAGATTAAGTTTTTTTTTAAAAATTGAATTTTTAAAGAATTTTAATAAAATTTTTTGAAAAAAATTTTAAAATAATTAAAATTTCATGTTTACAAACTAGTAATTGAAAGCATTTAAAATAATTGAATTTTTGAATAATTTTAATGGTAATTTTTGAAATAATTGGAATTTATTTAAACGTTATTAATAATAATTAAATTGTTAAACAATTTTAGTGGAATTTTTTGAAAATAATTGAATTTTTAAAAATTTAAATGAAAATTCTTGTAATAATTAAAATTTTCTAAAACTTTATTAAAATTAATTGAATTGTTAAACAATTTTATTGAAAATTCGTGAAAATAATTGAATTTTTAAAAGATAATTGAACGTTTATGAATTAGTAATTGAAATCTTTTGAAATAATTGAATTTTTAGAGAATTTTATTGAAAATTTTTGAAATAATTGAATTTTCCTAAAATATTAAAAATAATTGAATGTTTATAAACTATTAATTCAAAGTGTTCGAAAGAATTGAATTTTTAAAGGATAATTCAATGTTTACAAACTAGTAATTGAAAGCTTTTGATATAATTGAATTTTTAAAGAATTTTAATAGAATGTATAGAAAATAATTAACATTTCTTAAAATTCTATTTAAAGCAATTAGATTATTAAACAATTTTATTAAAAAGTTGTGAAAATAATTGAATTTTAAAAGAATTTTAATGAACATTTTTGAAATAATTAAAATTTCCTTATCTCTATTAAAATTGTTAAACAATTTTATTAAAAATTCATGAAAGTAATTGAATTTTTTTTATAGATACATAATTGAATGTTTATTATAATAAACTAGTAATTGAAAGCTTTTGGAATAATAGAATTTTTAGAAAATTTTATTGAAAATTTTTTAAATAATTGAAATTTTCTGAAATATTACAAATTATTGAATTTTTATTTTTAAGGAACTTTATTGAAAATTGGTGTACAGAATTAAGGGAACTTCACCATATTTATTAGTTTTTTTTTTAAAATTGATTTACTTCATATTTTTACTTTCAAAAATTATCCTTTTTTTTATTTGAACTTTCTTTAATTTTTTTTTTGTATAGGGGTAAAGGAAAAATTCAAAATTCTGTCCAGATGACAGGGAAGAGTCAGCAAGAAGCTAAACCGAATTTGTGGTGCAATCGAGAATTAAATTTTTTTTAAATTAACTGAATTTTATAAAGGGTCAGGAATCGGAGTTATTATTATTATTAAATTTTTTTTAAATTAATTGAATTTTATAAAGGGTCAGGAGTCGGAGTCAGGAGAAAAGTAAAAATTTCGTCTGAAAATCAGAGAAAATAAAATCGACTTTTTGTGACAACCCTGATATTAGAGATCGTATTCTAAAATTCCGGTTAGAAAAATACTCGCAATTAAATCCATGATGAATTTTATTGGAGAAATTTTTTAGGTTTTTAGTTCATCGGGAGTGGTTATTAGATTAGACTCTAGATCGCAGACTCAATAGAGACTCTAATATCCGCAAGTCTCATTGAAATGATACAATGAGTACAGAAAATAAAGAGTTTAAAAATTTTCTAACGACGATTTCGTGACAGGATCTATGTGATCAGTTGCTGGCAAATAAATAAATAGTATAAATTTTGAAAAAAAAAGAATAGAAATGAACGGAACCATAGCCACATTGGTAATAAACAAGCTCCTTGAATACTCGGAAAGTCACCTTTCTCTAAACTCCGCGAAACGCTACTTTACTGTCACATTGTTTCCGATTGTGGTGACGGTGAAACGTTTAGAACCCACAGGAGACTTACTTGTCTTTTTTCTTTTTCTTTTCATAGCTGAAATCCGTCAGACTACGTTTATCTCGTGGTCAAACGCGTTTATAACTCACATCATTTCTCAAAACCCGTAGGAATAGAAAAATAATTATTTAGAAAAACTCACCGCCACAATTTTATGATTGCGGTGTGAAATTCTTTTTAAAGAACTATAGCACTTTATTTCCAGGAATATAAATTCTATTTTCACTAAATTTATTCGCTCAATGGAATATTTTAGCGAAAATAGAAGAGAGAAAGAGATTTAAATGTTACATCATGAGAATAATCACCTTTAATGATGCCCTCGTCACGAAAGTTTTGCCACATTGATCGCATCGATGATCATCGGTATTATTGTTTCTTCCACGATTAAATTGATCGCTCGATGCCTCATTGTTATTATTACTGTCACTGCGAACGGATTCAGTTGCAATTGTCATTTTCTCACTGCACTGACCCTCGGCATCAATGTTCACATCGTGATGAGATTTATTTGTTTCTATTGAATCATTCGCTGCTTCTATTATTGAATCACAGAGTCTGCTAATTGGATGAGATATTTCTGGTTTTGGAGAATTTGTTTTTGAGCAAATTTTCTGTTGGGCAAAGTAGGCTTTCTTTGGATTTGGACGAATCACTTGATTTGGCGATGAATTTTGCATTGTTTTTGTCGTTGCACTTGTAGTTGTTGTATTTGTTGTATTTGTTGCATTGGTGGTGGTTGTTGTTGTAGTGAGGATAACAGTGGTATTAGAGTCATTGTTTAAAAATTGTCTAGTTGATGGCAATTGATTTGTATTTGGATAAAAAGCTTGTGATGTTCTTGAAATAACTGTAGGGAGTACGACAGGTTGAGCAACTGGTCCTGAAATGGGAGTTAAATAAAATTCCTGTCTTCTATCCTGACATGGCAAGTGTGATTCTTCTTCACTTGGGCATTTTTTTTCAGGCGATGTTGACACTTGTTCGGAATAATGATTGTTGACTGGGACAAATGGTTTTGGGGAGTTTGTTGGACTGCAGGAACGCGACTCGGTTGATTGTACTTCCGGTAGATGATGCTGCAATTTTCCACTTGGTTCCTGTAACAAAAAATTATTTCTTATTAATTATTTTATTGCTTCTTTTCTGTTTCGTTTTCGTTTTGGCTTTTTTGTTTTCGTTCTTTTTCTGTATATTAAAATTTGTAACGGCAGTATTATAATACTTATTATAGTAGTGCAGATACTGATTTAATACTGTTGCTTCAGAACAATATTAAATTCTGAACTATGGTTCAGTTTCTAAAATTATTGTTCTGAAGCAACAGTATTAAATTCTGTACTATAGTTCAGTTTCGGAAATTATTGTTCTGAAGCAACAGTATTAAATCAGTGTCTGCACTATTACTTCAGCATGACATAAAGTAGTAAAGTAGTAAAAGTATTGTTATCAATACAATGGTCAGTTTTAGCACTATTATTTCAATATTAGATGAAATAGAACAATGTTGTCATTAATACAATGGTCAGTCTATAAAATGGTCAAACATTACAATGACCAATTAATAGAGCAATCAATCATTACAATGACCAATTAATAGAGCAATCAATCATTACAATGACCAATCGGTACAGTGATAAATCAATACAATGATCAATCGGTACAGTGATGAATCAATACAATGATTAATACAATGATCAATCAGTACAGTGATAAATCAATACAATGATCAATCAATCAATACAATGCACAAGAAAATAATCCCATTTACGCAAATTACAGCACAAAACAGGTGCAACAACTTAAAGAGTATATTAAAGAGCAGAAACCGAATAATACGGATGTTGAAGAGAGGAAGCATGTCGAGGGTGGTGACTTAACTGTTAGCGTGACCCTGAGGAGCAGATCAGGTTCGGATGATTCGCGATAAAACCAAGGTCGCCGTGCTCGCTCTTTTTATACCGCAAAACGAGTATACCTCACTTTGTACCACATTATGCTTGTTCCTCAATACCCAACCATTTAAAACCTACACACAAGAAATTATGAACTTGAACATATTTTGCCCGCAGTCTCCGGGTGATTCCGTCTCTTTGCATTCTCCGCGGCCCAATATGACAGGCGAATAAACGATCTCTAGAATCTACTTCATCCAGACACAAAGACGTCAAGATATCTTTTCATTAGAAAGTGAAAAAAAAGATAGCCGTTGTTTCGTGCGCTCAATCATTTGATACTATCCAGCAGAGGGCAATTGTGTAATAAATTCAACGAATGCAAAAGCTCTCATATTCAACTGATGGATTTGACAGTCGAGAAAGGTTAAATTAATGATATTAGCACTTTTACTTCAAAAGGATTGGTCTACCCTTTCAAGAGAGAATATACTCGCAATTTCTACTCTGCTGGAGATTTCTTCATTTTCCCTCCTTTTTCAATTTTTTTTTCTCTCTTTTCAATTCATTAGAGAGATATTAGAATCATTAGCGATATTAGACAAATAATGAACTCTCTAATAGAGAGCATTTTTTTATTCGGATTTATTCATTTATACCTTCACGATGAATCACGTGAAGTGTTAAAATAACACCAGAATGGATTAAAATAATCTGCAACAGTTTAATCACTCTAGGATTAAATTAAGAAAAGAAAGGATTAAAATAATCCGTTTTGGTGTTATTTTTTACTATGAAATTGAATTTTAAATCAAACACCAAGTCGACAATTTGCCAAAAATTTGAAGTAAAATTTCAGTCATAGTGAAAAATAACACAAAAATTGAAAATTATGTTAATTCTGTTGCTTTTTAATACCTCACAATTTACTGTGATTCTGATGAGGTAAAGAAATTATGAAACTAATATTAATTTGTCAAAAGAACTATAATTAGAAAGAAGAGGAAACTTTGTGGAATACTTTCAATTTTCAAATGTAAATTTACATATTTATTGGACCTGTGTATTTTAAAGGAAAGTTTTCCGTCATAAAAGATGCTTTGATGGGAGTTGGTAGATTGCCTAATAGGTCACCGACAACAGGAACTTTTGCAAATGTTTACGACGACTATTACCATTTCTCAGGAGAAATATACGGAGCAATCTGACTAGTATTCCGTTCCTCTATGGTAAAACAACTAAGCTTTAAGATGACCACTTTCGAGTCAATTACAGATGCGTATATGTACATCGAGAGCCGCACATTCAAAGAAAAATATAGCTTTCCACCCTTATATAATATTAAAGCAACAAAAAAAGAAGATTTACCTACGTTACCATTTTTAAAGGTGTTTTAGATTCTCTATAATATACAACTTTCGCTGCTTTAAAGCAAAAAAAAAAAAAAAAAAAATTCACTTCTAGTGCAGGTGTAATTAAAAAATTTCTCAACGAAAGAAAGAGACGAAAAAAACCAAAGAAGAAAAAGGAAAGGAACAAAAAGAGAGACAACACTGTAAAAAGAAAGAAAGGTACGAATTTAGTATCAATTTTGGTACTAAATCGTAATTTTTTTTAATTTTAATACCGAAATCAGCTCTAATTTAGAACCCTTTTTTTACGATAAGAGAAAAGAGAAAAAAGGGAATAAAGAAAAAAAGAGAAAAGAAAAAAGAAGAAAAGGAAAAAATTAAAGAAAGAAAAAGAAAGATCAAATGTAGAAAAGAAGGAAAGAACCTAAAATTACATAAAATCATAAAAGCTAATTAATTTAAAAAGAAACGCGAAATAATGTAAAATTTCTCCAATTAACGATTCCAGATCTCACAATTATATACATTTACTTATTTGCATTACAGAGAAAGATAAATTTTATGAATGTGACAAAAATGTTTCCATTTCATTTCTTCTTAACGAGCCACCTTTTACGATTGTACAAAATGTCAAAGAACACAAATCGAGAGTTTCTGATTTTCTCTATTATACATGTACGTAAATATGATTCAAAAACATTATTAGTAATAGTAGAAAATGGAAGTGCTATTAACATATTTTCTATAACCATAGCTTTTATAACATTCATTTAAATTTTTTTTTATTAAAGTAAAAATTTATAATATATTTTTTTTTTCTTTTAAAAGCAAACAGATTTTAACAGATCAGAAATAATAATAAAACAAATTATAAAGAATAAATAAAGTTGGTACAAAAATTGAATTTTGCTTCTCTCTGCTTTCCAGGCAGAATTTTGACTTTTTCTCTCATCCCTAAATTCGATTTATTACAAGGAAAGAATTTTTAGAAGCAAAAAAATTGATTTAAAACTTTAAAAGTATTTTACCTGTTTTTTAAAAAATAGTTACTGTGGTAAAGTTTCCTCTATTATTTTCACAAATTTTCGATAAAGTAGGTACTTTAAAAATTCAATTATTTTAAATACTTTAAGAAATTTAAATTATTTCAAAAATTTCCATTAAAATTTTTTAAAAATTCAATTATTTCAAAAGCTTTCAATTACTAGTTTGTTCAATTCAATTCAATTATCTTTAAAAAAATTAAATTGTTTTCACAAATTTTCAATAAAATTGTTACACAGTTTAATTATTTTTAATAAAAATTTAGGAAATTTTAATATTTTATTCTTCTAGGAATTTCAATTATTTTCAAAAATTTTTTAAAATTATTTCAATCTATTTAAATTATCTTTATAAATAATAAAATTTGTTTTAGGAATTCAATTATTGTCATCAATTTGAAAAAATTCGCGTAAAAATTTCAATTATTTTCACAAATAATAAAACTCATGGCAGAATTTCATATATTTTTAATACAATTTTAACTGAATTCCTTAAGAGGGTTCAATTATTCGTAAAAATTCTATTAAAATTCGTCCGAAGAATTCAATTATTTAATAAATTATTATTTTTGTATTTAAATAATTTCTCGCAGAATTTTCTAATTAAAATTGATTTAAAAATTAATTGCAGTTAAAGTTATAGATAATAATTGAATTTCTGAGAAATTACAAATGATTGCAGAAATCCAATAATTTTCATAAATAGGAATAAAATTCTTCGAAGAAATTCAATTATTTTTAAAACTTTTACAAAGTTCTTAATTTTCAAGAATTTTAATGATATATTCTTTGCAAAATTTAAATTATTTTTAAAAATTTTCCAAAAGAGTGCAATTATTTAGAAATTTTCTATAAATTTCTTCGTACTAATTCAATTATTTTTAACTCATCCCAGAATTTCAATTATTTTTATTACAATTTTAATCGAATTCCTTATAAAATGAGAAAAAAAAATTTTTTTTATTCTTAAAAATTGGAATAAAATTCGTCAAAGAATTCTATAATTTAAAAATTTGTTGATAAAATTTCTGTATGGAAATTCAATTCTATGAAACATTCAATTATTCATAAATTATTTATTTTCGTATTTAAATAATTGAATTCTCGTAGAATTTTTTAATAAAAATTTGATTTAAAAATGCATTTTAATTAAAATTTTAGATAATAATTGAATATTTAAAGCATTTTGGCATAAACTTTTAGAAATAATTTGAATTTTGTAAAGGTTTCAAATTAAAATCTTTGAAAATCTGAATTTTCTATTTCGAAGAAAATTTCGAAAAAATCAATTATTTAACAAAATTTTTATACAATTCTTCACAATAATTCAATTGCTTTCACTAATAATATTTTTCAGGGAAATTCAATTTTTTAAAAAAATTTTTGCTAAAATTCAATTATTTCCATAAATAATAAAACTCAGAAGAATTTCAATTATTTTTAATATTAATTTCAATTAATTAATCGAAAAATTCAATTATTTTCATAAATATGAAATTCACAAGAATCCACAAGAATTCAATTATTTAAAAGAAAATTTTCATAATATTTATTATTTTTCGAAAAAATTAATTATTTAAATGTTTATAAAATTCTTATGAAGAATTTAATTATTTTCAAAAATAACAAAATTTTTTACACAAATTCAATTCTTTTTGAATATTTTAATAAAATTTTTTGCAACAATTCAATTATTTTCATATACACAATAAAATTCTTCTTAGAAATTAAATTATTTTTGAAAATTGTAATAAAATTGTTTGCAACTATTCAATTATTTTCATAAATAATAAAATTCATGGCAGAATTT